TGAAACGTTAGATATTGACAAGAGAATGTAGAAGAAAACCAAAATGTTGCATTATTTTGTTTAGAAATAATTCTTTTCCTAGTATTGATTGCATCCTTCCAGTGACATTTCTACAGCATAGGTTTGCTACTGAAGAAGCACTGTGTTATTTCTGAAAGGTGGCTGCAGCATATATAGCGAAATACAACGTTCTCTTGCAGAATCAAATGTTAAGGTGGGGTTTTTTAATACTATTACGTTCTATATAGACTACAGGACAAGAAAGACATTGTGTCAAATCACTGCGTTTCTCCAGGGGCTTTTATCACAGAATCCCAGACCGTTAGGGATTGGAAGGGACCTCCAAAGCTCATCCAGTCCAATCCCCCTGCCGGAGCAGGAACACCCAGATGAGGTTGCACAGGAAGGCGTCCAGGCGGGTTTTGAATGTCTGCAGAGAAGGAGACTCCACAACCTCTCTGGGCAGCCTGGGCCAGTGCTCTGGCACCCTCACTGAGAAGAAGTTTCTTCTCCAATTGAAGTGGAACCTCCTGTGTTCCAGCTTGTGCCCATTACCCCTTGTCCTACCATTGTCTGTCACCGAGAAGAGTGACATTTATGCATTCTTTAATTTCCCAAGACTGAAAAAGACATTATAACAAAGAACATCTCAGGTAGTTTCAAAGCCTATTAGGAAAGCAGTCATCTACTTCTCTGTATTTCTTTCACAGGAAGTAAGTGTATTAATAGCACAGACAGAAATAATCACACTAGCTTTAGTAGAGCTGGCATGTATAGTAAGTTATAATATGGACTTGGAATTCATACAGTACGTAGAGAAGTCCACATTCTCAAGTCCTTCGTATTACAACTGTTGCATTAGCTACAGCTGGCGTGGTTACGTGTGGTTAAACCACGCTGTGTCCTCATGAGCTGTATGAATTTACAGTGAAGAAATAGGGGCACCACATCAGACTGCCCTTCAGCAGCAGCTGGCTAGCACAGCTCACCTGCTACAACACCTGCCTGTTCCGTGTCGTTGAGATGCAATGATGACAGCATTACCATTTTCTTATATCTGATTTTATAACTCCCATTAACTTTTATAATTTACCATTGACAAAAACTATTTTGACAATGGTAAAAAGCTTTATTTAGAGTTTTCCCTTCACTGTTGTGCAGCTCTTGTGTGTTAAAGCATCAGAGTTGCTACGTGTCAATGCTGATTTTGTCAGCGTTATTTCTGTGTCTGAAGGCAGAGGTTAGTATCCAAATGCCTGGCAGTGTTTACTAGATCACAAGCATAAACATTAACTCACCAGCTTCACAGACTGGACCACAGAAGCAAGCCTTAAGAAAACAGACTCGGTGCAAATACTAACGACTGGATACGGCCAATTCATATAAAGGGGAAAAATGTCTGTTTTCATGTTGTTATTTTGGAGTTCCCCAAAACAAGACATGGTGAAACCCAAGGATTGGTTTCTGTTTATAACTAAGGTAGCAAACGTGAGTACTGAAACGTACCTGAATTGTTCCCTACAGGTTTGCCAAACCTAACAACATCCTGCT